GTTGTCTGACAACGAATTATTAAGCCGAAGATATACATATATATATATATATATATTATCATGTATACTATAATATAAAATATTACTGATATATTACTTGGGACAATAACTTCTGTTTAGATTTTGATCGTTTGCAAACCTGTATATTCCTACATGCATAAATACGACAGAAAATATCATATATTACCGCATATTGCGTTTAGTGTATGCTCGCTAACAAATAAAACTAAATCTTGTATAATAACTGTTTCTTCACTTTCTTTCAGAGATTTTGTCATATGGTTTCCCTCTTTAATCAAAACATCAACAAAGTGCCGTAGTATATTAAAATGAAATGCAGACGTGAGTAGTTTTCGTCGAGTGTGCCATTTGTTTCCTGAAAAAAACGAAAGTAGGATATATATACATACTCTTAGTATATATGTGTAAATATATATATATATATATATATATATATAATTTATGTGTCAATATAAATATACAAGGTGTCCGACAATTACTTTAACATCTCTCGTAGGCAGATAGAAGGAGTAAAACTGAGTCGATAAGTTCTATATCATTTTGCTAGATTCGCAATAGTTACCGAAATTTTAATTAACAAAGGTCCGCGAATAAGCGTACATCGGTCTGTCTTACGCGCGTAGGACAACCCAGCGCGCTTCACACGATTACATTTTACTATGTATATGTTATAGTATATGCTGTTATGTTAGCTCCTCTCATATGTCGCTAACATCGTAAGCGCGCGAAGCGCGCCGGGCTGTTTTACACGCCCGATGCATGCTTATTCATTGATTTTTGTTAATTAAGATCTCGGTAACTATTGCGAATCTAGCAAAATGATATAGGACTTTTCGACTCAGTTTTATTCCTTCTATCTGTTTACGAGAGACATCACACCAATTCTGGGACACTCTGTATATACAGGTTGTTCCATAATTGCCGTCTAACGCTCGATGGTAGATAGAAGGGGTTATTCTAAGACGAAAAGTTTTATACCACTTTGCAAGATTCGCAGTAATTAACGCAATATTAATTAATAAAGATCCGCTACTTAGAGTGCATCCAGCGTAAGGACAGCCCAGTGTCCTTACAGTCTGTCGAGCTGTACCGACGAAATACAATAGCGCAAATAGTGCGCTGCTCGACGGCAACCTATATGCTACCTATGTATGCACATGTTCTATTATCTCCTCTCATTCCGTCGCTACGGCACGACAGACTGGGCTGTCTTTACGCTGGATGCACACTGATTAGCGGATCTTTATTAATTAATATTTCGTTAATTATTACAAATCTTGCAAAGTGGTATAGAACTTTTCGTCTTAGAATAACCCCTTTAATTTATCTATAAGCGGTTAGACGGCAATTATGGAACACACTGTATATATATATAAGGTGTCCGAAATTACCTTACAATCTCTGGTAAGCGGGAAAGAAGGAGTAAAATTGAGTCGAAAAATCCTGAACCATCTTTTTCTATTACATATAATAAAGGAGTATTTTAATTATTGAATAAATCAAGTGAATCAGCGCTGACCTGTAGCCGAACGCACGTCAGTAAACTACCTTTCTAGTGTGCGTCAGTGAGTGCTCCGCGCAGCTCACTGACGTGCGCTCGGCTAAAGGTCGGCGCTGACTGGCTTGATTTATTCAATAATTATTCTTTTATTATATGTAATAGGAACAAATGTTTCAGGACTTTTCGACTCAGTTTTACTCCTTCTATCTGCCTACAAGAAATTTTAAAGTAATTGTCGGACATTCTGTATATCAGATTAAAAGCTATGTTTTGTGCAAATTATTATAGCAAAAAAAAAAGATAAAACATTCTAACTTGTACATATTATAATCATTAATATATACTATGTAGTAAGCGTAACGCGATATAATTCTTATAATTAATTGAGTGATAGTGTAAGATACATGTTTTATACATCGCACATATTTAGATATGTATATTTCCTAATGCGTCATGCATTATTTGACTATTACATATTTGCTCTTATATTTTATTGATGTAACTGTACCGATAAAAAAGTTCAGACCATTTTGTTATGTACATGTTTTCCTTACACTATTTATAGTACAAGTATAGTTGTAAATTTTTGCTTTAATTCAGTTTTTCTAAATAATAAATTATAATATACTGATGTTATTAAATATGTTATTAAATATACTAAAGGTATTAAAAACTATTGTCGTTATACCTTTGCTTGTAAGAAGGCCATCGTTAAGCCATGGACCGAACGGGATGTACACTCTACTTTTTTCATTATGTTTCGTAGTGCTTAAAACTTTCTGAAATTGCAAGAGAAAGATAGTGAAAATATTAAGTTTTTCTAATCTAATTTTAGTACAACTAATTTTTAAATTATCTCATGTATGTATCTTTTTAAATTTTGAAGTTTTGCTTTTCTTAAATTATAGATGACAACAGTAATTTTTAAGTCGCGAAACTACGTGTCAGTGTACACTTGCAAAGAAGTATACACTATTTTTATATTTTATTACACCTCCAAATCATCTGGATGACGAATGAATATAGTACATTCAGGACCTATCCAGAGTTTTAGAACGGGATTGGTGTCGACAAAAGAACGCAAAAGTATCCATATATTTCCTAAAAAATGTACTAAATATAGATAATATTCAAAATAAAAGTGTGCACAACATCTAAAAGGTTTCGATAGTTTTATTATTCTTTTTAACGTAATATGTAAAAAGAAGTATAATACTTGCGTGGTGAACATTGAAATAAAAGTGCCGAACCGAAAATCGGAACACTTGGTGGACCTGGTATAAGGCGAATAAGTCGCCCACTTCGTTTATGATGCACATAATAATCATACAATATTACATATAAAATCAACACCAACAATATTGTTATAATCATGATTCACGTTGATGTCTAAAATGTATCAAATAGATTCAAGTTTCTTCACAATATACTAGTTCTGTGTATTTCACGCGCGAACAATAATAACTCGTTTTCAGTTATGTTATGATAACGACTGACTCTGAACTTGGATCTTTTTAGATCCGACACAATGCAAACACAAAAAAACAGTTACGTAACATTAATGTTATAATTTTCCACTCAACAATTTAACTGTTACGTACAAGGCATGTTGCATTACAGTTACATCGTTGAGTGGGAAATTATAATATTAATGTTACGTTACTGTTACTTTGTGTTTGCTGGGTGGATACGTATGTTTTATATGTGTTTCAAAACTCTTAAAGGTCAGAAAAATATTAAATTATAACTATGCAATGACGTCCAATAAGACCGTTTTGTTTAGACTATGATTTTATTGCACAATGGAAGAGAAATGTTATATCGTGGCACAGTCACAGCGGATGTGTATCAAGGTCCTCGTGCGTTTGCGTTAGACGATTGCCGTGGTTAATTTCGCGCAAATTAATAATAATCGATGGAAGAATAAATTTTTCTCTGATTTTTTAAGACAATTTTTGAACTATTTTTCTCAGTTGTGTAAATAAAGACATATCACACATGCTTTTATATATTATCTGAACACACTTGATCAAGTGGAAGAACTGTCACAAACTGCGGTTCTAATGCAGATACTCTTTGACTTTTGTATTCATCTCTTTTCTTCTCTGTTAGTCATTATCTGGTAGACGGCGATATAAAAAGTCAAGCGGAATCTACGCACTTATATAATAGATATGTTTACTGGTGTTTGAATACATTTGAATTTCATTAATTTTTTTATTCTTAAATTGTTTTGATATATTTATAAAAATGTTTACTTGTTTGTTTGTAGGTATCTTGATATCATTTCTTGATGCAATTATTTTGAACATTTCTCATGTTTTTTTTGAGTGATTATAATAGACGCATGCTTGTTTTTTATTTTAGAGTCATGGAGGACTGGAGAGAGCATTGCAGTGGAAGCGGGAGTTCTGAATTTTGTACTTGGAAGTTATGTCATAGGAGACTGTCTATAACGTTTCTACCGTAAATCCAGTCGATATGCATATACTCTGATAGAAAACCATTTTCAAAATTATGTGACAAAATCTTGCACTAAAATTCTAATTTGCAATTATACAGACATATTTTAGGAAATAGATGCAAAAACATTGATCTTTTCTGAAATATTTGTAGTTGTTTGCAAAATTACTTTCCACCATTTCGGCAAAAGAATAACGAATATGGCGAATCATCTTAGCAGTATATTTGCAAAATTAATTTCACAAAGAAATTGTCCAATAATTGAGAAAAGAAATTCAGCTATGTGTGATGTTTCAAATGTGTAGAAATATGATTGCATATGAAAAAATGCAAAAAATCGTCGTCACTCATGATGTCACATTTGTGCAATATTTTCACAATTTGCATATTGGAGGATATATACTGTGGAAATGCATAACAACTTTTTGTTGTAAAAACCTATACTATAGTTATGTAAGAACTGGAGTTTATTGGAAGTGCTACATAATGCACGTATGAGGCTGGTGTAACAAGCTTTTTATTGTGTCTGGTTAATTGGTTATATCTTATATAAGAGATTGTGCATATAAAATGTCTATTTTTACTTCTAATCTGCTTGCTATAGTAACTCTGTCCAACACTAACAAGGGAACCTCTCAAACCCGAAAATTCTGATTTTGATGAAACTTTGCACACATGTAAGGGAGGTCAATAGATGAGTATTGACATTTTCCGTTGCTGCTAAAAAACGGTTTTAAGGGATAAAATCACCCCTCATATGTAGAGCGGTTTTTCATTTTTCTCAATTTTTCTCGAAAATGATTAGAGATATTAAAAAATGGTTTATACAAAAATTTTATAGAAAAAAGCCCTCTATTTATTTATGTTAATAGAGTTTAAAAAAAATAAGTTTTAAAAAAAATTGTGTAACAAAATTATAAAAAACATTTTTTTTAACAATTCTATTAATGTAGGTAAATAGAGATGTTTTTCNCATAAAACTTTTATATAAAAAATTTTTTGATATCTTTAATAGTTTTCGAGATACATCGAGAAAAAAACGCAAAACCGTGTTATACATGATAAGTGTTTCACTCTTTAGAATCGGTTTGAGGGCGCCACTGAAAATTTCTACATTTATGTAGTTATTTATACATGTGTACAAAATTTTATCGTAAGAACACCTCTATGTAATCGCACATTAATACATTTTTGAAATAAGTTGTTTCTAAAATTTAATTTTAGCATCTTTTATATATAAGGAACTATTTTTTATTATATATTACGATAAAGATAGTAATTTTTCAAATAAAGATGCTTTTATTCTTTGAATATTTCAAGTCATGTTGCAGTGCAACGTGACTTGAGAGATCGTTGAGCATATTCATATTGCAGTCTTTATATTGCAT